CTGGAATTGCCTATTAGGCTTCACCTTTGACACATATAGAAGCTATATATCCAGTCTACTATTAGATCAGTGCAGCTTGATGAGTGAGATCTTGCATTTGACTTGCGCATGGAAAAGTGAGTGTGCAAAGCTTGTTGCATAACACAAAAAGTTACAATACCCCGTTTGGAAAATGGCCAACATCTAGACATTTGGGAAAGACATGAGAACAAAACTCCTTAGCTGCTGATTTCTTAGTAGAGAATAGAAGTTGACATATCCCCTAAAAACAAAATTATTATCATATAATCATCATCATCATCACAACTATCACAACCATCACCACCATCATCATCACCACTATCATCATCATTGCCATCATCACCATAACCATCATAACCACCATCATCACATCATCATAACCACCATCATCACATCATCATAACCACCATCATCATCACAACCACCATCATCATAACCATCATCATCATAACCACCATTATCATAACCACCATCATCATAACCACCACCACCATCATCACTACCACCATTTCCACCATCATTATCATCATCATTATCACCATCATCATCACAACCATCATCATCACAACCATCATCATCACAACCATCATCATCATCACAATCATCATCATCATAACCACCATCATCATAACCACCACCACCATCATCACTGCCACCATTTCCACCATCATTATCACCATCATTATCATCATCATCATCACCATCATCATCATCATCATCATCATCATCATCATCATCACCATCATCATCATCATCATCATCATCATCATCATCATCATCATCATCATCATCATCATCATCATCATCATCATCATCATCATCATCATCACCATCATCATCACCATCACCATCATCACCACCATCATCACCATCATCATCATCATTATCACCACCATAATCATCACCATCACCATTACCTCCAAATGATCTTCACTTTCGTGGTCTTCATCACCAACGACAACGCCACCTTCGCGCCACAGCGTCAAATTCCGTGGAAATGATATCATTGGTGCATCCTCACAGGTACTATACAAAGCTATGGAGTCCTTCACTACTCTCACAGCAAGCTGTCTCCATGTTGCTGTACCAGGCTGTAGACCAAACCTAACCGACTCCCCCTTCTCATTATATAGCATTAGAGAAGAGCTCGTTAAGCTAATTCGGAATAAATGAATAACAGGCGGAAGTTCTGAACTTGAAAAAAATTGAATAAGGTTTCCTGTCCAACCGGTTTTGATAATAAACAATAGAGAAAATTCTTCAGCAGTTTGTCTTGGAAATAAATAATCCTGTTTAATATGTCGACTATGTTTCTGTCCAATTTCAAGTAAATTGACAAAACCTAAAAGAAATTAATAGATTTAAAGGGCAATTAAATATGTATTTATGCTCATAGACACCCAATTCACTCCCATATATTGTTTAAATGTTTGGGTAGCTTCGGCCCTTGTTCCCAAGCTGATGCACCTGGAAATGTCATGTCATGAGAATACTTCATGTAAACATTTTCTATAGCACCTGGGGATGAGGAAGGATTTTGCCATTACCATGTGATACTTACATTACCAGAACAGTGGTAACTAATGGGTTTCACGGAGAGTTCAATCACATTCTACCAGCTTGAATTTTGTCACCAATGGTTGAATTTTTGGTCCCATTTTCCCAGTAAAAACAGAAAAAATATGCAAATCCCAACGCCATAATCTTTTGCCATAATTCTCGATATAACTGGCAACAAAACTGCACAACTTCCAATCATCCACATATGTTTCATTCTCTTGCACCTTGCTAATATTTTATATTTAATATATACATCGATTCCATCACTCCTCGACAAATCGCCATTTTGTTTTGGTAGCCAAATATCGTAGCAAAAATCTACTAAACTAGGCAAAACTACTTTGGCCAACCACATCTGATTATTATTGGTTAGTTCATCAGCTTTACAATTGGCTATGTTTTATGAAACCTGATTGGCTAAAGATGCGATGTACACAAAAAACTATCGTTGGCATATATATTTACATAAACAATAAAAATTACGGCATTTACATGTACATGCGAGCAAATTGTCTTACTTTTCCATTTTTTACATTTCACTAAAAAAATTGACAAAAAAAAATTGTCAATATAAATATTTTATATATCTTATCTTACCTTGAGCATCCTGTCTGAGCTGGCCAGCAGCAATTTCAGGAAGTTCACTTCCAACACAGCTGACCATCCATGCGAAAAAAAGCAGGAACATCAACAGCCTAGCAGAGGAGAAATGCTATTTACGCGATAGAACACCATACGTGTTGAATCTGAACTATACTAAGCTACCGTGGTTTGTGTGTGAACTACCTGAAAAAGATATCTCAAACGTGGTGGTCCAGTGTAGGTAGTATTGTACAATAAGCTGCCGTGGTTTGTGTCTGAACTACCTGAAAAAGATATCTCAAACATGGTGGTCCAGTATAGGTAGTATTCTACAATAAACTGTCGTGGTTTGTGCCTGAACTACCTAAAAAAAGATATCTCAAACGTGGTGGTCCAGTGTAGGTAATATTCTACAATAAGCTACCGTTGTTTGTGTCTGAACTACCTGAAAAAGATACTCAAACGTGGTGGTCCAGTGTAGGTAGTATTCTTCAATAAGTTGTCGTGGTTTGTGTCTGAACTACCTGAAAAAGATATCTCAAACGTGGTGGTCCAGTGTAGGTAGTATTCTTCAATAAGTTGTCGTGGTTTGTGTCTGAACTACCTGAAAAAGATATCTCAAACGTGGTGGTCCAGTGTAGGTAGTATTCTACAATAAGCTGCCGTGGTTTGTGTGTGAACTACCTGAAAAAGGTATCTCAAACGTGGTGGTCCAGTGTAGGTAGTATTGTACAATAAGCTGCCGTGGTTTGTGTGTGAACTACCTGAAAAAGATATCTCAAACGTGGTGGTCCAGTGTAGGTAGTATTCTTCAATAAGTTGTCGTGGTTTGTGTCTGAACTACCTGAAAAAGATATCTC